CCCCTCATCCTGCCCTCGCCGCGTCCCGGACTCAGCCCCACGGCCCCGTCCCTTCCTCCCCACAGACGGCCCTCGGTGCCTCCCTGCCAGCCCCGTGCCCAGCACGGCTCTCTCCTCTCCCCACAGACAGGGACGTGCCCTGCAGCGGCGGGGGCAGCGGGGCAGGCGGGAGGCGGCTGTCGCTGCTGTCCGCCCGTCCTGTGCCCAGCCAGCTCCCCGTGGGTCCAGAGTGGGACCTCCCAGCAGCCCCTCTCCATCCCATCTCAGGCTGGTGGGATCAGGCCCTCCAATGCCCCCAGGGCACCCACCACCCTCCACAGAACCCCCAGGACCACCTCCCTTGGCCTGCCTGCCTGCCCCAGCCTTCCCCATGTCCTCAAACTCTGTCTTATCCTTAAACCATCAGCAGGCAGGAGCACCCGGGCTCTGCTGGTGGGACACTGTCCCAAAGGGCTGTAGGGATGCGCCAGTCCTGGAGCCGGGACACCAGGACCAGCTGCAGGCCAGAGCACCCTGCCAGGGTATCAGACCATTCCTGCCTCAGAGGCAGTGAACAGTGACAGCAGGACAGCTAGGCACTGTGATGGCTCGGCACAGCACCCTGCCGTGAAAAGCTTCCCCTTGCTTCCCAGAGGAAATAGGCTCTTCAGCAGAGCTCATGTCCTCCATGAAGAGCCTAATTCCAGGAAGCCATAAGCCCTCACCCAGCTTTTCTGTGCTCCCACAGAGCTCAGCTGTGTACCCCCTGCACCTCCCCTCTCTGCAAGTCCTATGCAGCTTTTAGACCTGACCTGCAGAGGAATCTTGGGCCACCACTGGATAGACATTGCCCACCCTCCTGCTCCCATCCCCTTGCATCCCGCAGTCAGTTCCCAAATCTGGGGCTCTCCTTTATGGCCAGCAGGACTTGGTGGGCTGCAAGTGTCAAACAGCAGCAGAGCCAAACTAGTAGTGTACCAAGAGCTGCTCCTCCTCTTCTTTCTCCTCCTCCTTGTGCGGTCTCACCAGGTCTCATCAAGCAGAAGCAACTTCCTGGTGTTGCACACAGCTCCTCACCAGCTGTCAGGAAAGAGCTTCTGGTTTCAAGGGAGGAGGCCTCAGAGAGGCTTGTCCAGAATGCTTCAGGTGGTCTTCAGCAAGGAGGTGAGCACACAGGAAAGCATCTACTGATGGAAGATGGTGAGTAAGGACCAGACCTGGGCTTTAGTGGACAATGGAATGGGACATTGGGAGCCATACATCCTGGTTGGAAGGGTTTGGGGGATGTCCTTGTGAGGGGCTGAATCTGGCTAACATCCTCACTCCTTCTGAAAGGCAGTCCTCCTGTACATCTGAGCTGGATGGAGCTTCAAAGGTCTCTGACTGGTTTCTGGGCTCAGAGGAAGGTTTGCTGGGTGAACTTAGGCTGAATATAAACATATGTGAAAGGAGGAGGCCACACTCCCACCGAGTCCAGGAGAGCCCCCACCAATACAAAATGGATTGGAAAAGCTGGAACTGATCATAGTGATGGCAGTGCTGTACATCCAAGGGCTCTGAGCAAGTCCCAGCTCATGGAACAGGCCCCAAACTGATCATTACAAACCACCAAGTCATTCACGTGTCAAAAATTCCAATGGCATGTTTAGGAATCTGGAAAACATTACCTTTTTCACTAATTTGAGTGAAAGCCCCAGTGATGGTATACAGGAAATGGCACATTCATGCTTCTTCAGCACTGCTATACCAAGTGTGCATTTGAGGGTTTACCAGGAAAACTGGGGTGTTTGCCTGGGGAACTTGCACTTCTGTCAGTCTCTATATATGCATTTGATCAGTTATGTCTAAAAATATTGCATCAGCTTCTCTCCATAGCAGCCTTTCCTTTGTGAAAATAAAAATTATGCAATCATAAACCCAAACTGAAATCCCAGAAGGATTAAAACTCTAAAATCAAAGTGTACAGCTCCAGTGAAGCAGCCAGCTCCAGTGCAAAAGGACACTGTGGTCTGGGGACAGGGGCGTGGGAGAAAGATGGGGAGAGTAAGGTGTTCCCTCCCCTCTCACAAGGTCCATCTGAGAAGAATTAAGAAAAAATGTAGCCCCCTCTCATAGCTTTGTGCCATACCTCCAACCTGGCAGTCTTCTTCCAAGAGCAGTTCACAGCCTCCTCCTGGCAGTGTTTCTCTGGAGGCTCTAGAGAAAGGTGAATTTTGGTCACTGAGGAAGCTAAAGGCAGCTCTGTGCTGGAGCAGATGTGTCCTGGTTTGTGTGTGCACAGTGTGAACCACACAGGAAAGACACATGTCAGAGAAGTAGGGCAGTCTGCTGCCTCTTGGCCTTGTTTTTTCTGCACACAGGCTTTGGTGGGATGAGTCTCAGCAGTGCCATCCCAGCTTTTCCTCCAGGGAGGGATCCAATTGCCCTGTGTGGTCTCCCCCACCAACTCATCATAGAAAACAGGACCAGTGCAAGGCAGGTTGCTCCCATCTGAGCTCTGGGAAATCTCTGGATCTCAGATTCTGCCCTCCAGAGCTTTGCTACTACCACCCAGTTCCTCTGATTTGATGGCCCTTGGTAGTGGACAGAGGGTGGATCAGACCAAAAGACACCATGAAAGGTCTCCTGGGTGCCCTCATGGTGGAGTAACCTGGTCCCAGTTTGGCGCAGCCGCATGTTGTTTTTTCAGATATATTCAGGACCTTTTTGAGCAAAGACCTTGTTTTGTGGAGAAGACTTGGTGTGAGACCATGTTGAAGGAATACCACATTTCCCAGGGGGAATTCTGACTTATTTTCCTCCATGGTGTTTTAACTGTAACTGTTTTTCTTAATGGTTGCAGATGCATCTGGAGGGGAGAGACGCTGTGGTGAGGCACCTTCGGGCAAAGTTCCAACAGAACAGGAAAGAACCTCCCAACGTGTGTGGCTGGCCAGAGAGTCACCCTGCAGCCTCTCATGGACCAGAGCCAGGACAGACTGTCAGTGCCTCCAAGGGTGATCCTCTTCAGGAGGCTCCCTGGAGCAGGAGGGACTGCACCAGGCCTTCTCCACCTCACAGTACAGGTCAGAGCATGGGACAGCATCCACCTCATTCTGCCTGTGAGACCCCAGCACGAATGGTGTGTCGGAAGAAGGAGACGGCTCCAGGTGCCAACTTCCACCCAGTGCCTGCAAAACCAGGAGATGTGTTGAACAAGAAGGTGGAAGCCAGCTCTGATCCTCCCCACAGGAAGCCAGCCCACCAGACATGGCCACCTGCCAAAGACAAAGGGGCTCCAGTGGTTCTTGCCAAAGGTGCAGCTGCTGCAGCCCCCCTGCTTGCTGTGGGAAGCCCCCAAAGGACAGAGCACCCAGCTCTGCCCCGGAGGAAGCCTTTGCCACCCGTCAGGGCACTGGGAGTGAAGCCAGGCAAGCCCCGGCGCCCTCCTGATGTGGATTTGGCAAAGTTCAGAGCAGCTGCACATCCTGGGAAATCCATCTGTCCTGCTACAGAACCACCACGGAGTGCTCAGCTGGGTATGGCCTTCCCTCAGGGAAGGGAGCTGCTCATTTAGGAAGGAAAATCTCCGCAGTTAGAGCCTGAGCTCCTGGGAGATGGAAATATCAGGAGGGTTTATGGAGAGGTGGGGGCTTGTATTACCAGAGGGGCTTTTATAGGCAACAGCATGAGGATGAGAATGAGAGAGGAGGGCAGGGAAAGAAATAAAGTGCCCTGTCCCTGGCTGGGCACAAGTTTCCATCTCTGGAGTGTTTGTAGGAAGTAAGATTGGAGTAAGTAACATGAGAGACATTGCCAAACTGGAGTGAGCCCAAGATGGCTGGGAACTGGAGCACACGGAGAAGGAAGGGCTGAGACCCTGGCTTGTTCAGCTGGGAGGAGAGGGAAGAAGGGGAGATCTCACTGCCCACAGCTACCTAAAGGGGAGAAAATGGGGCCAGACTCTTCCCAGAGGTGCCCAGGGGGTGATGGGCATGACCAGCAGGGGAGGTGCCAGTCAGACACTGCCCCACCACGCTCCACAGTGGCCTTCCAGAGCTAGGCCACTGTGGTGGTTTCTCACAGTTGCTGTTCTGCTAATCCACACTGCAGGTGATGAAAGCTGTTTCAAATAACATTTCTTGCTCAGTTTCTCTAACCATAAGAGTAAACTTCCTTTCCTTAAGAGAACCGAAAAATCAAGCTGATCTATGTTATAATTAAAAGGTGTTACCAGGACTGGCCATGCTGTTGTGCTGGGAGATTCTCTCACATGACTAGCTACAAGTATTTATTTGTCTCATGGGTCCTGAGGCAAGCTGCAACATCTAGAATCATGCCTTGCCTTGATTTGATAATTTTTATTAATTTTTAGGGCAATCTTATTATTTTTAGGACCAAGTATCTGATTGTGTATTATTTGGTACCATAAAACAGCAGAGATTTGATTTTGTACTCAGGTCTTTGTGCCCATTCTTGGTTGGTCTGGTTGACCAGGCTGGAGACAAGGCTTGTGATACAAATAAGGGCATGTTAGCAGGGGTGTGGTCATGCTGGCAATTCTAAAAGGGGCATCAGTATGTTCTGGTTATGATGCTCCTGAGCCATGGACTTGCCCTGACTCTGGTACATATCTGAAATTTAGGGATTTTCCACATTCGTGATACCCGTTTTGGCTTCTTCCCCTCTCCTTCCATCATTTGTGCAAGAAGAAAGTAACATTAGAAATATGCAAATGGAAAAATATGTATTCAAGGCCCTCAGTGAGGAATCTGATGAGCTGTGCACCAGTGTGCTGGAAAAAATCCCTAGATCGGCTATGGAGTAAAAAACTCCTTGCTCTATCAAGATGTGTAGTCAGTTTTTTATCTCCCCACCTTCCCCTGCACTAAGTCCAGCCCGGAATGGCTCTGCCCTCAGGGTGGCTAATAGAGCTGAAGAGAAAATACGAAATAATTCTTCCCTGCTCCCTCCTGTTATGTTGTTTGTCACAGGTCACCCGCAACCAGGCTGTGCTGCATCAGTACCTGCATGGTTCCCTCTGCAGGATGCTCCGAGTGGCACAGGGTAAGGACTGAGGCAGCACTGCTATTCTAGGCTGTGCCAAGCCACTGGGAAGGGCATGAGGTGTGACAGCAAGAGGATGTTTGGGTTTTCCTGCCTGCTGCTGGAGCCCAGGGTGTGGAAGCAGGTCCCACAGAGTGAAGCGTGACCATCCCTTGGGGCTGTGTTACCTCACTGTGGCCATTGCACCCTGCTGTCCATCCACATCCAGCTGTGTGAGGAGCTGCTGGCACAGGGCACGGAGCTACTGTCCAGCTCTGGCCCAGAGCCAGGGCCAGTGCATGGCCAGCCCACCCTCCTCCTGGCAGCCCTGATTCTGCCCCCAGCCCCCAGCGCCATCACTGCAGCAGCACTTGCTAACGGTGCTCTGCCTCGTTGCAGGGATGAAGATGAGCTATACGATGATGTTGAGCCTGTTGAGCTGGCCAGGAGATGCCCAGGCCTTCTGCTTCCTTCTGTGTCCCAGCTGGCAGTGTATCCCTGCCCCAGAGGGGGTGAGTGCAGGAGGGGCTTGGGTGCTGTTTGGGGTGAGACCTGCAGCTCTGAGAGCTGCGAGGCCCCAGTGAGCCATGGGCAGCCGCAGGGCCTGTGCTAAGCCTGCTGCTCTCCCACACAGGAGGGCAGCGGGTTCCTCTTGTGAATGGGCACAGGAAACCCTGATCCCCCCACACCTGGGGGCAAACTCAGGATTTGGTCCCAGGAGAAGAGAGCTCTTGCTGCTCTTTGTATCCTGTTTTGACAAGTATTTACACCTCACAGCAGTCTCATGGCAGCACCTCTCCCGGGGTTTGGTTTTACAGGTGGAAATGCAGGCCAAGCCTCTAACAGGGTTACCTTGCTGGCAACTACACTGAGGTAATGGGGAGTTTTTACTCTTTCTAAGGGTCTCAAAATGGCCAGGGCTCCTTGCTGCTCTGACAAAGTTGCTGCTTTAATGGTCTCTGCTGGACTTGCAATAGGAAGGTCTTTCATGAAGAGCACAAGCTGCAGGCTGTACACCTTGCCCCGAGAGCCTCCACTGCCCCGGGGCTGGCACAGGGAAATGCAATGGGGAGCAGCTGGCAGGGAGAAGGGGGTGGATGGGAGGGAGAGAGCATGGGGTCATCTGAACCTTCCCATGGCTTTCAATGGCTGCAGAGAATCCCAGATCTCCCAGAAGATGAAGAACATGACACTCAAGGCATGCAAGAAGGAAGAGAAAATGGACAGGGAGTTTCAGAAGAAATTCAAGGTGAGCTGCAGTGGGTGATCACTTTTCCCTCTGAGCTTCTTCTCCCCTTCTGAGAAGGGTGCAGTGCAATGGCAGAAAGGAGCTGTGCTCCACAGGCACCAGTGATACCCAGATCACACCCTGCCTTGTTCCCCCAGGTCACACCTGCCCCATTCCCCCAGATCAGACCAGTCCCACAGACTATTTGGTCAGAGAGGAATCTGTTTTTTTTTTCAAGGAGGGAGAGCGGTCAGACATGCCTGACTCAACTCCCATGGGCACTGCTGTTTGTGTTTCAGTTCAAAGGCAGCATCAATGTCCTGACTCAGATGATGGTTGACCCTGCAGCGACAGAGAAGAGGGGCGGAGCGAAGAACCTGCCACTGAGACGGGGAGAAATCCTTGATGTCATTCAGTTTACAAATCAGGAGCAAATCCTCTGCCGGAACAGCCAGAGGAGGTGTAAGTCTAGAGGGTGATGGGGCTCACCCACAGCAGGGAGCACAGCACAGTTTTGGGAAGAAGCTTCTTCGTGCAAACGCCCCCTGGCAGACCTCCTGACAGATCTCCTCTACCTGTTGGACAGATCTGACAGGTACCCTGTTACCCTGAGAAGGCTCCCACTTCTCTCTGCACAAATGTCCTGCTCTTCCTTCCACTCAGCAGCAGCATTTCTGCTGTGAGCTGGGCTTGTCCTTTCACTCTGCTAAAAGCTTTTGCCGTCCTCAAAACCTCCAGGTGCAATGGGCTGCAGATCCCCCAGGGAGAGGGGAAGGGATCAGGCTCTTCCCTGCCAGCTGCCATTAGGCCTGGCAGGGTCCTTCCTGACACTGCCCAGAGCAGGTTCCTCCTAAGGTCCAGCTCAGCTGCCCAGAGTTGGGTTGCTCCTTGTCCCAACTTTTTCTAGGAACATGAGGTGTTGCTAAACCCTGGGCAGGGACAGGTGCTGGGGTGATTCCTGCTCATGCCCTGGTTCCCAGCACAACCTAACATGTTTTTCTTCACTCTGTTGCAGATGGCTACGTGCCCCGGGCCGTGATGCTGCCTCTGTGAGTACCCTTTCCCAGCCCCTTATCTCCACTCCATGAGCTGCAACAACTGCTCCATGAGTGGCCAGTACCAAACTAGTCCTGGCTGACAACTCAAAACTACCCAGCTCAGGCTGTGACCATAAGCCTAACACCAGCAGATTCTCCTGAGCTGGAATCTGCCATTTCTGGTGTCAGGAGAGATTCTGTCACTGGGGCACTGGAAGCACTCCCCAGGCTGTGGTTCCTCGTGTGAGACCTGCCCAGACACTGCTCAGAGGCTGCTGCTGGGACAGGATGAGGGTGCAGCCCCTCTGAAGGGGCAGATCTGCAGCTCCTGGCAGCTCAGGATGGGGCCACCATCCTGAGAGGGGCCAAAGTCATCCTAACCTCACTCCAGATGGTCCCAGCCATGCAGGGAGAGCACAGCACTGGGAGGGGGAAACAGGGCTGCAGGTGGAACACCAGAGACCACAGATAGGTCAGGAGGAGGTGAGACAGACACGGCAGCAGGAGCTGGCCTTTCAGGGTTGGGAGGTGGTGGAATGTGGGACACCACACTACCCACAGCACCCCATCTTTGTCCTTGCAGGGACACTGACATCTATGATGACGTTGAGATTTATGGTAGGTGCACAGAACTGCTGCCATACCCCTTCACTGACCACAGTGACCACCACACCAAGCACCAGGATTCCTCTCCTCCTGACCCTTTGCTGTTTTGCTGCCTTCCCTCTCTCTCTTCCCTCTGTGTAATTCCTCTTCATCTCCCTGAGGTTTCCTTTACTTACTCACAGTTCCCTAAAAGTCTTCATGTTCCTCTGTTCCCAGTTATTTGGACTTCTGTGCACCCTGTTCTCAGCTTGCTCCCTCTACTCGCTGCCAGCCCCAGAGCCCCTTCAATATCCTTTGAGGTGTCCCTGATCCACCAGACAACTCAGACTTCCCTTTCCCAAGCAGATGTTCTGTCCTGACATGCAAACTCCATCCCTGGCTGGCAGTTGGCTCTGAAGATGGAGCTGAATAGAGACAACTGTATTTCATCTCTGCTCACAAGCACACACTTTATCTAATTCTGGCAGGCTGAGCTAACCACACTGAGGCCAAAGGCACAAGACAGCACCACAGAGACCTCCCCAAGGGCTGAAACATGAACAGCGCCAGACACCAGGCTCCTTTTGTGAAGGAGCTCTGCTTCCTCTGCGACAGACTTCAAAACCACCTTTTTCTGTTCCTGCCAGAGCAGAACAGTAGCATGGCTGCTCAGCACCTGGGGCTGCACAGATCCTGTCCCAGATCCTCGAGTCACACCATCACCATAGCTCTGCTTTGTCTTTGTAAAATACAGCAATGGTTCAAGAGGGGTTTATGGCCCTTTTTTTCTTCTGGGGACTAGGGAGAGAGAGGGGTGAAATCAGGCCCATAAAGATTTTAATATTTTCCCATTCCCAGAGCATCTTGAGCCTGGGAGCTACCTGCCCTTTCTGCACCACACTCTGGCCCTGGTGGCACTCCTGGCCTGAACCAGAGGCAAACTGGACAGAGAAATACTCTAATATATCACGAATTATGGAACCAGCAGCATCTCATGGCCTTGGGGCAGATTCCCTGGGGAGCTGGCAGGAGGTTGGATCTGTTGGGGCAGATATTTGTGTGGGAACATTCAGCATCACCTGTTGGTGCCTTGGGCTGTGTCTGCAGGTGCCACAGGAAGTTCTCTCATTCACTGAGAAAGTTTCCCTTTGCAGACCCTGCCCATGAAGATCTCACAGACAGGGGCAGGATCGGGGTGCACTCACAGCCAGTGGGTAGCACAAATCTGGTGGCAGGATCCACCTTTTGGTGGATTCTTTTGGATCAGGAACAGTGAGGAGTCCTGGGGCTGAGCCCCTGCTCTCAGTCTGCACACTGGTCCCCATCCCAGGGGCTGGAGGGTTAAACTGGGAGGGTTCAGCACCTCACGGCGGGATGCCAAGCCCAGATTAACCAGTTGAAGACGTCACTTTCCATTATGGGAAAGGCTCCCAAATATCCCTGAAGCTTTTGGTTCTGGGGATTAACCACCAGCACACTCAGCTCCTGGCACAGAGCAGGGGTCCACTGGTGCCGCGGGGCCCGTGGCCATGAGTGGGGCTGGGAGCTGCTCCCAGGGACATAATCTGGGTGGCTGAGGACGACCATGTGGGAGTGGGTCAGAAGAGCTGTGCTGCCCTCGCTGTCCACGGCCCTCCTGCGCCTCTGGAAGTGGGTACGAGCTTTTTGGTTCAAAAATGGCCTCTTGACTCTCTCAATGCTGTCAGTTGTCACTGGATGCCTCCTGGGGTTCCTGCTGCGGGCGCTGGAGCTGACAGACCTGGTAAGCCTGGCTGGGATAGTGATGGGAGTGAGGGGCATGGAGTGGGGCAGGCGGCAAGCCCTGGTGCCCAAGTAAGGGTTCCAGATGGGCACAGCCCCAAAAGCAGAGACCTGCCCAAGAAAACCACCTCAAGGCACATTTCTGCCCGTGGCTTTTTTCTGTTTTATCTTTTTTCTTTTTTTTTTTTTTCAAGAAAGTGCTAACAAATGCCCAAGCTATAGGACAAATCTTACCTCCCTCCAATGAGAGTGGGGAGCTCTGAGTTGGACTCCATGGGGCAGCAGGAGCTCAAGTTGGGATGAGGATGGGAAAGGGGGGAATGTTTACTTAGGGGCTCTATGCTCAGTAAATGGGGTCTCCCAACACCACCAGCAGCGCTGGGATCTGAGGGAGGGGGTCCAGGGGATGGGGTTAGAGGGATGGGGCCCAAGGGATGGGGTCTGCCCAGCTGTGTGCAATCAAAGCACATTTCCATGCTCTGGAGAGGACTCAGCAAATAAATAGAGGACTGGTGAGGAGCCTGGAGCGCTTTGAGGAGTCACCTTCCTTTGAGGAGCCTTGGAGACAAATGCATTGGAGAACACACACGAGAAAGGCACAGTTGGCTCAGCCCTTTCCAGAAGCATCGTGCTGCGAAACGGGGCCGAGCTGAGATCTCTGACTTGGGGCAGCTGGGTCAGGCTCAGCCCTGATCCTCAGCCAGTCTGCTGGGGGGGAATGCTGCTCCGGGAGAGCTCAGCTGATGCTGGAACATCCCTGTGTTGCCCACTAGGATTTAGCAAAGTCTTGTCATTTCAATTAGGCCCTTCAGCATCAGCACGGCAGGGATGATCTCGTTACTTAATTGAAGCTGGGTGTAATCTCCCTGCTTCCCAGTGCATACACCCGTGAGAGCCCAGCAGCCACCCATGGTGGGCATGACGCTGGCAGAGTCTTGGGGCTCCAGCCCCTCGTCCTGCCATGCATCAAGTTTATCCATCCTCTGCTCCAGCCCATCCTGCCCTGTTGCCACAGCTCTGCTGTGGGCCTGGCAGCCACTAGAGACTGTCCCCACTAGAGACTTTTGTCACAAAATGTGGAGGAGAGCTGGAGAGGTGGCCAGTCCCTGCTTTCCTCCTTGCAATGAGAAAGTGTCACAAAGCTCAGAGACCCCCTGGCAAAGAGATGCTGTTCAGATCTGGCATTACCCCTTGCACCCTGCTGGGCCCATCACAGCTCTGCTCCCTGGGGACATCAGCCATGTCCAGGTCACACACTGGGACAGTGCAGGGGCAGCACAGGGGAGTAATTGAACAGCTGCCTTGGCAATGCTCAAAGCCCCAGCATGAGGTGGTGGCTTCTTGTCTTGGAGACAGCTCAGATCCCTCCCTGACACCTCTACAGTGGCACAGTGAAATGGGGGGATCAGGGATGGAGGGAGAGAAGATGGATGGATGGATGGATGGATGGATGGATGGATGGATGGATGGATGGATGGATGATGGATGGATGGATGGATGGATGGATGGATGGATGGATGGATGGTGGGTACAGCTAGGATAGAAGGAAGGAGGGATGCTGACCAGGTCGCTGGTCCCACAGACCCCTCACTCTCCCCTTAGTCATGGCTGTGGGATCCAGACTTTGGGGGATGTCTCTGCAGCCCTTACCCCATGTCCACATGAGGGTTGTAGCGGGTGGAGAGGTGCCATGGCACCAAAGTTGTCCCATGGATGGGTCAGACACCTGGGCTCTCCCTGAGCTCATCTTTTCCACCTGCAGCCATGAGATAATTCCCACCTTTTGTTGCTGCCCACAGCTTTGGGGCACTCTGCTGCCTGATAACAAGTGCAATGACTTTTGGGAGGAGCCAGTGGTGGGGCCATGTGAACCATTCCCTAGAAGGCTACAGAACCAAGAATGTTTCTGGGAGGGGACCAACCCCACATGCTCCTCCCTTGCTTACAGCCAGGTTTGCCATGTGGCCAGGATTCCCCATCCCTGAGCCAACTCCCAGTAAGGGACAGTAGAGAAATGGCATCATGGAGTGCCTCAAGGAGTGGCTGCCAGTTCAGAACCAAGCTCAGAGCTGGGTCTGCTTGGGAAAAAGGCAGATTGATCAAGTTTGGGCCCTTAGCCCATAATCATTTGCCTGACACTTGCTCTGCTCTATGTGCAGGAGAAGCAGTATTTTTCCTTTCCTGGAGAGCTCCTCATGAGGATGCTGAAGATGCTGATCCTGCCCTTGATCACCTCCAGGTAAGACATCACCTTCTGCTCTAAAGGACCATCTTTCCATCACATTGAAAAGATCACCCTGCGACCCCACCCATTGAGGAGATAACCCCAAAACTGCATGGGATGAGAATACTCCTGGCTCCAAGCAGCTGGCAGTCAAGCAGATGGCTTGGTGTCCATCAAACCCCATGATTTCCCAGCAACAGTCTAGGACAAATCCTCACCTGGAGGCAGGCACTTGCCCCCATCTCAGATACCTGCACTGGCTGGGGTATTTCCCTTCTTTTGGGCAGCTGGTGATGCCAGGACCATCTGTGGGCAGTTGTGATGCGCTGTTTAACCTCAAAGCAGATTCTCTTAGAGGGATTTGAGAAAGTTCAGGTAAAAAATCATAAGCATTCCCCAGTGCTGTGTCTTGTGTTTGCAATCCTCATTTTATTGGCCCATACAGACCTAGAAATAAGGAACAGAGCCAGCACTCCTACTGGGGTCTAAGAAAGTTCTTGAAAACCTTGTATGGATTAACGTATTGCAAACAATATGTTGGCATGTGCTCATCAGACACACACAAATGATCAAGTCCATGTTCCCTCGAGGTGTCTTTTCTCTATTGTTTGTCAGAGTTTGCTTGTTGTCCCATTTGCCTCTGGTTCATTTCTGAGAACAGAGTGGTCTCTATCCTGGCCACTCTTGACCTGTTGAGGACCAGCCCTTGTACAGAGGTCTGTACCTCACATCCCTCCCTGAGGTGCCTGAGGGTTTCCCTTTGCTTTCAGCCCTCCCTGCAGCTCAGTTGCTGAGTGGTCTCCTCTGATCACTCTGCTGTCTGTGGGTGTGGGGTCTGCAGAGCCTCCTGGGAGTTTTCTTTCATGTTGGATTGAACCAGGTGTGAATGATGGTGAAGTGGTGTCTTCCCTCTATGCACCATCCCAGAGGGGACTTGGTGTGCTCTGGGATGGAGCTCTGGAGATCTCCAAGCCCCAAGCTGGAAAGCACCACCTATGCCAATGTTGCTTTTCTGGACTCTCTTGAGTTTCCAAGGCCCTTCACCTCCTGGATGTGTGGCTGCTGAATGGCATCCATGGGCTGACCACCACCTCAGCCACCCTGTGTGTCCCCAAGGCTGGCACTGACCCTTGCAGCCTTCAGTTGTGTCCTGTCTCAGGGTCAGGGCTTGGCTGGGTCCTGCAGAGGCTCAGTGTGGGTCTGTATGCATGGGGGGTACACTGGAGCTCCCAAACACTCACATTTCATAGAATCTTGGAATACCCTGAGCTGGAAGGGACCCCCAGGGATCATCAGCCCAGCCCTGTCCCTGCCCAGACCCCCCAACAGCCCCACCCTGAGCAGCCCTGAGAGCGCTGTCCAAACGCTCCTGCAGCTCTGGCAGCCTCGGGGCCGGGACCATTCCCTGGGGAGCCTGGGCAGTGCCAGCACCCTCGGGGGGAAGAACCTTTCCCTGAGCTCCATGCCAAGGCCTGGCACAGCTCCAGCCCTCGCTGGGCTCCAGGAGCTGTCCCAGAGCAGAGCTCAGCCCCTGCCCCTCTGCCTCTCCTCGGGAGGAGCTGCAGCCCCGAGGAGCCTCCCCTCATCTCCTGTGCTCCAGCTGAACGAGCCAAGTGCCCTCAGCCGCTCCTCAGACCTTCCCCAGCTCCGTGTCCCTCCTTGGGACACTCTCCAACAGCTTTGGGCCCTTCTGACCTTGTGGTGCCCAAAGTGCCCCCAGCACTGGAGCTGAGGCTGCCCCAGGGCAGAGCAGAGTGGGACAATCCCTCCCTGGCCTGCTGCCCC